TATAAATTTTATAAAATGGCATTTGGTAAAAAAGCATTTAACAAAGAGCTCCAATAATATTCCGTACCGCTAAGATACGGGCACAGATTCCTAAGTACTGCTGTAGCATCACAGAATCTTAGCACTGCACAGGCTCCAGAAATTTCTGAAGGACAGCTGAAGTTATTATCTACGTCTTTGTGTGTATGGAAAAAAACCTGTTTCACTCCTTCAGAATTGCCCTTTCGGAAACCAGTTTGGCATTTTCATGGGAAGTTGAACATTTGCATGTCCTAAACCAAGGTTTCTCAACCTTGGCACTAACATGTGTCTGAATGGCTTAAAAAAGAAGATGTGTCATTCAATAGCAAGGCATGACTATGTTAAAGAAATTGAAGGTTAGTTAAAATGTACAGTTAGAAAGATTGATAAATGAGTTTTATCTGTTGTAAATCATACAACATAGAAACATTAATTTTTAAGATATCAGTATCTTTCAAATATCATGGTTGAAGCTTCATCTTTTCTTACATTTTTATACCTAGTGGATCAGTCAAAATTGTACATTAATTATTTCAAATGCCAAAAGAAGCCAGCTGCTCGTTCTAGTCTCTGACTCAGTTTAAGCTCTTACAATATTTTGACTGTTTGAAGAAAATTAATAATGGGATGTTAGGGAGTAGATTAACTGAAACTAAATATCAACATAGCTAGATTTAGTTTTGGATGACTGAGCTCATCTCTTCAGAGAACGGAAACAGGGTTTATTATATCATGAGTGATTAACTTACACGACACCGAACCAGCAGCCCCCAACAGAGCAGAGAGAGCGTCGGCTACAATGTATGAAAAGATTATGTAAGACACTGAAAGTTTAGATTCCACATTAGCTGGAGCATGGAGTGTATTGCTATAGTCAATTACCTAAGACTCACAAAGACGCCAGAAGAAATTAATGCAATACATGTCCTGACAGTTTTGGAACCAAGCTAGTATTAATGTCTTATTCCTTCTCTCCCAAGTAGCAAGTCCCCACTGCAGCCAATGTGGACAAAGACGCTTGTATTTGTCATTCATGTATTCACTCACAAGTATTTACTGAGCATCTACCAGGTGTGATCAAGAAATACAGTGAATGTTTAAATGAAAAATATTTATTACAGTAAAAGACATTGCCATTAAGCTCCCTCAAAATACTCCCCCTCGCTTCGAGCACACTTATCCCATCGTTCTTGCCCCTTTCTGAAGCAGTTCTGGAAGTCCTCTTTTGTGAGTGTCTTTAGTTGTGCTGTCATGGCTGCCTCGATGTCCTGAATCAACTCAAAGCGTTTACCTTTCATGGTCATTTTGACTTTGGGGTGAGCCAGAAGTCTCAGGGTACCAGATCTAGTGAATAAGGTGGATGAGGACACGCTGTAATGTTTTTATTTGACAGAAAGTGCTGGACCAGAAGCAATGTGTGACACAGAGCCTTTCCATTGTGATCACAAAATACAGTGAATGCGGCTGTCGAGTGCCATCCAACAGAAAGGCAGGGATGTTCAATACCGGAAGCAGCACATCGAACCTTAGTAACAGTGTGTGACAAGTTTCAACTTGTTTGGTGCGGTCAGTTGGGTGTAAGCTACGGTGAGAGAAGGTGTGTTTTAAAATGTGCCATAAATCATCCTCCATCATGACAATGCTCTGTGTCACACATCGCTTCTGGTATACGGCAATTTCTGTCAAATAAAAACATTACGGTGTGTCCTCATCCACCTTATTCACTGGATCTGGCACTGTGAGACTTCTGGCTCTTCTCTAAAGTCAAACTGATTCAAGTAATGTGTCTTTTACTGTAATAAATTTTTTAATTTAAACATTCACCATATTGTTTGGTCACGCCTCATATGTGTCCTCCCTTCTCTCCTCCAGTGCCATCTCCCAGGCATGCACTGTCTGCAGGTTCATGAGCATGAAGAGGACACACACATGTACATCCGGGTCCAACACAGTGCCCGGGCCAGAAGGTGACCGCTCAGTTTCTGATGGCTTCTGGAGGCCAGGCCAACAAGGAAAGGCTGGCTTAAACTTTGATGAGCCCAATTGACCCCAATCGCCCTAAAAAGTGCCAATTCTATACTCCCCGTTTCTCTTCGCCCCTTCCGTCATGAAGAAACTGTTGGGGTGCCCTGGGGCCCCCAGTTACAGATCACGGTACCCCTGAGGCACTCCGCTGCTTCTGGGCAGTGACTGCTTGGTAAAGGAGGACACCAAAATGGAAGCACCGAAATCTGCCCTCTGTCCATGGGCTCTGGGCTTCGGTGACTATGCCTTATGTCACGAATATGCACAAAGAATCCCCAAAGCCCTCCCTACTCACCAGAACCAGAGGAGATCTCAACATCAAAATCGACAGAACGCGCTAATCATGGAAGCCAGGACACCTCACCTCGGCCATCTTGGGACCCCTCTGTATACCAGTGTGGGCACCAGGCCACTGCATTTCACAGCGCTAGTGACTCTTAGAGGAGAAAAGTCACTAAACCACCTCCACTGGGGACTGAACCCCCTCCGCTCCATGCAGTTCTGTGGGGCTGCCAAGGCCTGATTCCCCCGCCAGGCCACAGGGCAGGGAATGACTTTTGGACAGGCCAGTGGGGCGTTTCTCGCAGGTTCCATGAGCACAGGCATGGGATGGAGGGCAGCTGACCGCCAATCATCAGGGCACAGTGTCCCGAAAGGGCTGTGCCTGCTCCTGACACCCCTCCAACTGCCTCCTGGCAGGCCAGCCCTATCTCTGTCTGCGAGCATCTAGCATCATTAAAAGCAGAACAAAGACAAAAATGAACCCTTTCCTTGCTTAAGCTAATCAGGGCAGCTTTCTGTTGATTGCATTCAAGGAAACCTGGCTGACTCAGGAGGAAATGCCATTTTATTAAAAACACAGGCACAGTTCAGGCTTTGGCCAAGGTGAGTAAAAGGCGGCGGCAGCAGAGACTGCACAGGTGTGTCCTGTGTCAGCAGCCTAACTGGTGTCTCCTTGTCGGTCTCACTTGCCTCCCAAAGCTTTCCAGGATGAAATCCAGATGAAAACAATTCATTCCAGACAAATCTCCAGCAGGCAGCACTTTCAACTCTCATCTGAACCTCCTGCGGAGGCCCTACTGCCTACAGGACAGGTCCCACCCTTTCCGCCAAAGTCACAGAAAACAGGTGACTGGCAGCATTGTGAGGGAAGTGGCAGCTGTTGGTCCCTGTCCCTCCAAGGTACGAGCTCCCTTCAGTTTCAGAGACAGTGGCCCTGGCGGCAGCAGCAAAACGGCCTAGAGACCTGCAATCTAATCAAATACCATGTTTGAAAAGTAAAAGCCACATAAAGCAATTATGCTGGAAACGTGATTATCCACCTGGCAATCCGATCAGAATCATACTGCCCACTGCTGTTCCTACGTACAAGCACCGTTTATGTTGATTCCATGTCACCCAAGAAAGCCAGCTGAAATGCACAGTGACCTGAACTAGCCATTCCAGGGGGGTAAACTGGTGTGTATAAAACGGGATTCTTTCTTGAATGCGCCCCTGAACGCTCATCAGTCTATCAAAACGGAAGCCCCATGGGAAAGCCGGAGACGCTGACAGGCCATGGTGAAACAGAAGCCAGCTTTCTCAGGCGGAAGTAGCTCTGACGTCTGAGACCTGTTTACCTATAAGCCAGCTCTCTCTGCTCATTTCCTTCAAGGCCAAATTCCTACCTTCATCATGAAATGGGAGCTCAATGACCCGGAAACAATTTGAACAAAACTATTTCACTGAGGATGCTTTCATTTCTGTCTTCATTAACTCTTTGGGCCCTGTCAAGGGTGCTGAAAGCAGGATTGGTTTCAGCTGCTGGGTGTAGAGAGCTTAACATTTAAACAATTTGTACAGTGAACAGAGGCAGAAGATGCTTCACATAGACAGATACAAATGGTGTTTTTTTTCTATTCAAAGAACACTGCATTATCTCATTCACTGTATTTTTTAACTGAAAGAATTTTAAACAAAAGTAGCATGTTACCCAGCGAAATGTTACTAATTTTTTTCCCCACAAGTGAAACATCACACATTTAACAATCCCAGTTTTCCTTCACACACAAGTCTGTTCTCCTAAAGGTGAATGAATGGCTTGAGTGAACAGTAGCTCATCCTGGGTGACTGGCTCTTTATAAGATGTTACAAGAATAAAATGCTCAAGTACGGGGAGTTCACACCAGGCCCCAAAGCAGCAGTAACACACGAGATGTAAAAGACACTCGCTCCTGAAGCTCACCCCCCTGAGACCCAACAAAACTATCACTGTTATTCAGTTAATTCTGCTCTCTGTAAAATGTGGTGGCTTCTCAAACTCAGTGTTCAGGAAAGAGCCTTCAAGTGCATATTATCACACAGAGCCTTAGAAAAGCGTCTCACAGTTGAAGTCTCTATGCCTCTCTAGTTACTAACATAAGTTAGCATTTCTATTCCACTGCACTGCCCAGACGCACCTGTCTTTGGTGAATTCACGCAAATACAAACATCACTGAGGAGGTTAGAGGCCAAGTCACTTAGAGCAAATCAACATCAGAAACAACAAAAGCAGAAGTTGTCAGTGCTAAGGTCTCGGAACGCCTTTTTCAAACACACAATGGGCTTTATAAATGATTTTCCACGGAACATGGTTCTGTTTTAAGGGGCTGTTTTCTTCAGCAGGATCCAATGGCTGACCATTACTGTGGTTGCTGGGACAACATAAAACTCATCTGCCAGAGCGCCACACAATGACTTCCGGTGAAACGGTCCTATCGTGTTTCCTCTCTGGTTAATGCTGCAATTTTGTTCAAAAGCAAGGTTTCAAAAGTGCAGAATGTTTAAACTACAGAAGCTGGTAAAGAGGAGCACGCTGTTCACCATCAAACTGGATTTCATTTCCATCTACAGATCCTACAGCACAGGACCAGGCAGCTAATCCAGAGGCCAGTTTTCTTCCACACGGCCCTACAAATATGTCAGGCAGAACTTACCAGAAGCATTGCGGATGTCCCATTGGGTCTGGACAAGTGGATGGACATTTCAGGGAACATCCTGTCAATACGGCTTATGACGTCATCAACGTACCTAAGTGGGAAAAAGAAACGACGTGTATGAACTAACCCACAGTCAACGAAACAGTGCACTGAAGGCTCTCTTCAATTTAGTTTTCTATTAATGGAAGAGTTTTAAGAAGGTGAATGGGGTTACATGGCTTTTTACAAAAAATACCCCCACCCCGTTCCTTCTCTTGACTTCCAGAGCCAACCACTTTTTAGTGATTTTTTGGGTATTTCTACATAATGTGTTTTTACTGTCAGTTCTTGCTTTTTCATCTCAAGGCATGACCTAGTGACTTTTGCTACAGATCAGAGTTTAGCTGTCACCTTCCTGGCCACCGGGCTTGAACTACCGCGGCTCCCTCTCTGGCCTTCAGTACGAGCAACGGCAGCAGCTGCAGCTCTGGTCACCTCCCTGCTTCCTGCTCGGCTTCTCGACTCAATTGCCGGAATAACCAAGTCCCTGGATTAAATTCCTTCTGTTTTCAATACCTGAAGTCATAGTCCTGTTTTCCCGGTTGGACTCTAAAGCAAGTTATATCACAGCTTCTGCTTCAGTGGGTATTGGATGTTTCTGTTCTTAAATCTCAGCAGATGTTTCAATAGCTGAGCTCCGTAATGGCTCGTGAGTCCACCGACTTACTTGCACAGCTTTCTGTTTCTCCTTGGTTTTCACCTGATTAGTTCTATTCCAGTTTTATCCCTAAATTCTCTATCTGACTGCAAACCTTCCCTCACTCCAGTCATACACATTAGGCAACCTATCAGTTCCATTTTTTCTTGGAGACATTCCTCCAAGAGGGAGTCCCCTGTTCCTCTGGCCTAAATGGAACCCCTATCTCTTAAGATTGAATAACCATTGAGATAACTGACTTTAAGCACATAGCATGGTATCTGGCGCACACTAAGAACCCCAAATTACAAATACCCCTGGTACATCGTGGGCCTATTCTGTAAAATGCCCTTGCTTAGCTGGCTGGACTCTCCCCTCCCGTGAACACTCACTGTGACAATGCCAACCCCGAGCACCGACAGAGCCGGGTCGGGCTCAGATCCTTTGAGAATAAAACCACACCAGCATCTGTGCTCACCATCCACTCACGTGGGACACAGAGGGGATGTATAATACAATAACTGAGATGCAAAACTATCTATTAAGGATTTCGCATTGGATTTCATATCCGTTGGACATGACAAATTAAATTACATGTCCATTAGATCAGGGACATAGAAAAGCTACGTTCTCTTGAGGGAAGACGGAGATGAGCTCTCACTCATAACAGGAAAAGATTTTCGTTTGAAACGCAGGGCTCATGAAAGAGGGCAGTCAACATAACGCCGTTTGTTCAAAAGGCTCTGAGTGTCAGGGAGTAATCCTACCGATTAACTTCTCAGGTTTTCCTGAGAGAATGTTCTGTATGGAGAGTTTCAAACTCTGTTTGAAGAAGGAAGAGGAAGAACTGCAGCAGTCCAGTGTGAGCACCGAGTGGGCAGTAAGAAGGCGGAGCAGAGATGCTGGAGGTGCGCTGAAGGCTCTTTGCTGCTGGGAAGAGGGCCGAGAAGACTGATATTCTTCGAGGCTGCAAATGACTTTTACCAACTTAGTGCCAGACAGCTCTCTCCCATCCCTACGAAGGACCGGAAGATGAGGGCGTGGCTTAAAAAACCAACTAGCTCAGAAAAAACAAGAGGTATCATTTTAAAGTAAGGACCCATTCTGTTCATTTTTAAAATGGTTTAGAGGGCCGGCCGAGTGGCTCAGTTGGTTAAGAGCTCGCTCAAAAGTTTGAGCTCTGAGCAACAGCGGTTCGAGTCCAGCCCGAGCTGAGCAGCCGCTGAGCTGCCAACAGGTAGCAGGATGGCTCAGCTTAAAAAAAAAAAAAAGAAAAGAAAATAAAATGGTTTAGAAAACTGTCTTTCCGGGATGGCTACGAAACAGAGTAAGACCCCACACACCATCTCACACAGTCCCCTTCTGGATTTACAGCTCCATGATACACAGCCTTGGCTCTAGGCTAAAATGCTACAAAAGAGGTGGAAAGATGAAGAAAGCAGGAAACTGACTCGTTTTCATCCTGCCTGATGTTTCTTGAAACGGTGGGAGACACATGGCAAACCTCATGCCAACGGCTCACCCCACTTCCCTGGAAACATTTCTGCATTTACATGTTTCTTTTCTGAAATGTGTGTGGTTTAAACCCAGTTCCTTCAGTCTCAGCAGGAAACAAAAATCTGCAGTCCTGTGTGAATGAAGGTCATTGCTAAGTATATGCTAATGGAGGGGCGGGGGTGGGGGGTGGGGTGACAATGAGTTCTGAACCAAGGCTCAATCAATAGCCACCAGAGCTCTGGACAGTAGGCTGCAAATGAATATGCAGAGTGTCAGGACACAGGTAACATCATCACTCGCACTCCCTCGTTCCTTTCACCTTGAAGGCTTCAAAATACTTTCTGGAAAACTTGTCTCGTTAGTAGGCAGGAAAACAGGGGAATGGGTAGGTTAAGGGATGATGCCAGACACCCAGCGCGGTGTGTAGATTTCTAGGATTCCACGCCAACCACCCAACTGCCTGCTGTTAGTACGGGCCAGAGTTCTGAAGGGCAGACGCCAGCTCCTTGCCATTTCTGATTCCTTTATTCATGAGTTCTTCCCACTGGCGGGAGAAACACAGCTCCTTGAGAAAATATCTGTGGACATAGGAAAGTAGGGTTTCTGTTTTCTTCCCAACTAGAGATCTCAGACAAAGCTCAGTAAACTCAACCCAAAGATTTTACAGAGCAAAACTAACTTTCAAGAAGACTGTTTTTCATTTACACGCCTAACAAAAAGGAGACGCAAATTTCCTTGATACAGGTGACATTCAGTGTTTGCCAAAGAGAGAGAGAGAACGTCAGCTGTGTCTTTAACTGAGGAAAACAAAGTCTAAATCCTAGCAGCAAAAATCAAAACATTTCATTTTCAAGTAAAGCCAACCTTCAAAACCAACTCCACCACCACCAGTGACATGATGGAAATTCAAAGCTGGAGACAAATGACACTTCCTTTTTGCCGAGGGTGGGGGCTGGTATGGGAGGTGGTCTGTCTGTCCCGCTGCTTCTCGGAATGCTGCCTCCCGAGCCGGCATGGCCGCCAGTGCGCGCGGAGCTCTGCGTGCAGGGCTGAGAGCAGGTAGGAACAGCGAGCTCCCGCCCACACTTCCACCGTATGTTCGTTCCACTCTGCTCTGTGGCAGGATCAAATTACTTGAATTTTTACCTTTGGAATATAGGCAAACAAGCAGTAACACAGCAGTGGTGACTAGTTTACACTTGAGCAGACGCAACGTGGAAAGACATTAATTTAGTGCCAAATTGAGCAGTGAGTCACAATTTGCACATATCTGTCAACCTGTTAGCAGGGTAATAACTTGGAAAGATTGCTGTTCCTGTTTACATTTCAGAGGCCTTTCAAGAAGGGAGAGCTGCTTGGTTCTCCTACTTGCGCTCAGTCAATGAGCGGGCTCGCGGGTCCAAGGACAGGGGTAGGAATGCAAACCCCCTGACATCACCCGTTCAGATCAAGGTGTGACTCATCAATTCAGGGTTTTCAGGCAGAAAATTAACTTTCAAGCAAGGAGAGAATCCCATCTCCCTGTCCTGCTCCCCAGTTAAGAGACTCTCAGTGGTTTCCGATCCAGTTTTTCCCAGGACAATCCAACTGATTCTAGAAGTTTCTAAAGGCTTCCTCAGGGCTCAGCTTCAGCCTCAACTCCTTTACTATCTCGGCTGCATCAGAAGCAGTCAGGCCATTCTCAGATTTCTTTTTTCTTTTTAAAGATTTTTATTGAGGAATTGGGGGATGGGAACAGCGCTGGGGAACTGGGGGAAGGGGAACAGACAAGTTGCTGTCCTTTTGTTCTTCAGTCTAGTTGTGGAGGACGTTGCTTCACTGNTCTTCAGTCTAGTTGTGGAGGACGTTGCTTCACTGGCCCAAGTTGGCAACATCATTGCGCTCTTCCCGGGTGAGGCAGATCAGTCGCCGGCTGCTGGCCGCTCACGCTAGCTGCTGGCTACACACGGTAGCCCATGGCAACCCACTGCAGCAGGGGCTGCAGCCTACGCCGTCGCAGGCAACTCACGGCAGCCCAGCTCCAGGTTGAGCTATTGTTCAGCATCTTAGCTATAGAGGGCAGTGTCACTGGCCCTCATATGTGGGATCCGAACTGGGGCCCTGTGGCATCCCAAGCCAGCTCTTAACCAATGCGCCACTCAGCCGGCCCATTCTCAGATTTCTAATGTTAATTTCTGAAGCCCTTAACCCTTATTCTCTTCTGATTTTTTTCAAGGAGACTGGCCTGTTCCTTTAAAAGTCCTTAATCAGAGAATTAAAGAAGACTGGGCCCTCCGAGGTCCTCTCATCCAGGTTCCCATCAATGCAGGAATGTACCTGCACCCCCACAAGCGGGTCTGCATCAACACCCCTGTGACACCTCCCAAGGCAGCCCCTGGTGCTGCTGGGCTGCAGGCTTCTTTCAATCCACTTCCCAGCGTCCCACCCAATGACCCCACGTCAGCCTTGTGCAATGACATAAGTATTTCCTGCAAAACGTAGAGGCTCTCCACAAACATGTAAAAGACTATCAGGGTTTTTTATTTTTCATCAGCATTTTTAACTCTTTCTTGGGTCACAGGTCCCTTTGAGAATGTACCAAAAACTAGAGTATATGTCCTTAAATATTTGCTGAGTGAGTGGAGAGGACGTTACAAGTCAGCCATGTGGACCCGGGTCAGGCAGTTATGAAACAACTGCCCAAGAAGTTCTCTTTACCAGATTGGAGACTGCATTACATCAGCCATCAAAAGTCACCCACAGCAGCGACCAGAGCGCTCCACCAAACAAACCTCAAAGAAAGCAGCAGAGGCTCTTCAAAGTCTTACGGCTGAACACGCAGCCACAAATTCCCTACATCTGTTTTAGCAGAAGCTCAGTGCATCTCAGAAACACAGCCTTCCAAAGCAGTGCACTGAGCTGCCGGCATGCCAGTTTTC